CGGTTTAGGCTCTAGGGGCACGGGCAGCAACCTCGGATACGCACAGGGATTAGAAGGGGCCACTCTCCAAAAGAAAGTAAGAGGCTGGGCGTACCCCCGACAAAACGCCATATCTTTGAACCCCAAACATGGTGGATCCCCTTCGGGGCCACTGCTGTTGATACCGTAAACCCTGCATGATCCAAGGCACCCTAAACACTAAACCTGGACTAAACCCAAAACCCTCAAGCCTAAACCCTCAACCCTAAAGTCGACGTCCTAAACCTCGAGAATTCTGGTTTTTCCGTATACCAAGCCCAGTAGGAACTACCCGAGCACAGAGCTCTTTCAGGTTTAGGACTCTGGGTCAGGGTTTAGGGCCTCAACTTGAACATCCTCCCAGGGATGTGGGAGGTTGGGGTACGGGTGCCGCTGAGATCATGTAGCGCTTGGCTCCCGGAGGAAGTACGTCCCTGAAGACATTTGTCTGAAATCAATTCGAGGCTTCGAACAGTCCGCAGTCCACATCGGAGTCCAGCGTGATGCAGATGGGGAGGCCTGCATAGCAATCAAGGCCGCCTCAGCTTTCTTTTTGGCCAAAGCCAATGCCGCGGCCCTCTGTTGTTTTTTGCTTCTTCAGGCTTCAAGGACTTCAAGGCCTCGTTTGTTCTTTCTTCTTGGCCACCAAGGCGGACGAGCTGTAGTGCGCGTGGCAGACTCTACCAGAATGTGCATATCCACATTTGCCTGGACCAATGCTCTATACTTGAGCACCAAGGACCAATCAAGCAAGTTATCCAGCACGAGGGCATTATGGTGTCCGTAATTAAGGGGTTATATAACTCTTATTTCTATTGCTAATATTAGCAGAAGCTTTGCCCGATGGAGCAAGATGGCCGTCTGATAATTTGGGAAAGTGTCGAGAGCCCGTAAATACTTGGAAGCTCAAGGGGCATGACATGGTGACCCAATAAACCTGGGCTTATACTTATGATGCCTTTACTTGCTTTGCTTAGGTTAAAGGGTACTTAGCCAGTTTTCTACATCGAGCATAGTACCGCGGAGTCCATAGTAGGGCCCATGTCTACCGATCCTAAGTCCGTTCATGTGAACAAAGGGTTCAGGGTTTAGGATTTAAGGTTTGGGGTTTAGGCTGGAATAGTATCCAGGGGTCCCGAACCCTAAATATACATAAGCCTCTGAACCCCCCAATTCCGAGTGCTGCTGAAACTTAAAACCCTGCATGACCTTCGTATGCTAAGATACTAGGATCCCCCGGGGCAGCTAGGGTCATGCAGCATTTTCAGTATCAACGTGTACATCCCTCAAAGGCATTGCGCTCAGGGCTATGAGATCTTCTTACCTTTTTGTGCCATAACTATGGTGTAGGGTTCAGGGCTCTCCGTTTGAGGGGTCAGACTGAGGGTGGAGTTTTTTTCAAAGGTTTGGCTCCACCTTTTTTTTCCAAGGTTTGGCTCGACCCCGCCCTCTTGTTTCCTTGTAACTGTCATCATTTTTGGACTCTTGGATACGAAAAATGTCAACTGTCACAGGGATCGCGGGGGTCAGGGTCGCCATCCTCATAACTGTCGACGTTTTTCGACTCTCGGATGATGTTCTAAAATCAAAAATGTCGACAGTTACAGGG